GTGTGGCTTAGTCGTTTGATCTGTCGTGTTTATGCCACCAGCCACTAAAAATAATTAATCTGTTCTAAATAGTATTTTATAGAATGATTGTGATTGTTCTAGAAGTTCTATGTAGCTTCTCGAAGGCAGGGCTTAGGCGTCGGTAGACCCACCTATATAAAGGATTGACAGGCTCGGAAAGGGACGGAGATTCAGATAGATATTATTAACTTTACGGGGCGTGTATTATTCTTCCTGTATTTGTGTGCTTATACTCATATGTGTTTATTTCTCACTTCATCATTATTCATTGGCACATTATTCTAACTGTATTAACTGTGTACCGGTACAAGATCTACCATACTTAAGTTGAAGATTGTCATTATATTTTCTTTTATTTTGTAATTATCTTAAGACTTAATAAATCTTATTAATTGTAACTGGCAACTGTTTTGGGTGTCGTATCTTTAATATTGTTGACTCTATGGTATCGTCCTTTGTTAAGCACTGTTTACAACGAGCCACATTAAAATTAAAATAAGAGATTAATTTCTCCCAATACAAGTCAGTGCGTAACAGACATTCTTAAAAAAAAAGCGGGTTTTACCGTTAAACCCTCCAAGTTAGAAATTGGAAAACAATCAATTGAGTACCTGGGGCACACGGTAGGTGCGGGTTTATTGAAACCCGATAGGAACAATTTAAATAAAGTGTTAAGAATTGATCCGCCTAGAAATAAGAAACAAGTCAGAGGGTTAATTGGTCTGATCTCATATTATAACAAATTCATTCCAAACTTTTCAACACTAACAGCACCGTTGACTGACCTCACCAAGAAAGGTAGACCTAACAATATTCATTGGACGGATGAATGCCAACAGGCATTGGAAGCTATACAAAAGTATTTAACGAATAGACCAATATTAGTGCTTCCAGACAATAATGACTGGTTCATAGTTCGAACAGACGCCTCGACCAGGAGACTAGGGGCATGTCTGTTACAGAACAGAAACAACATCCTCCATCCAGTTAGGTACATAATTCGTAAACTTGTGGATAGGGAAACGAGCTATTCAAAAATAGAAAGGGAATGCTTGGCCATAATATGGGGCATTCAAAAATTGGTTTATTATTTAATGGGTGCGAGATTTATTCTTCAATGTGATCACCAAGAATTAAAATAGCTAAATACTGCTAAATTTGGTAATTCGAGAGTCACCAGATGGGCATTAATTTTCAGGAATTCAATTTTGACATTGAATATATCAAGGCAGAAGAAAACACTATTACAGATTTTTTTATCCCGGCAATAGTGAGAAAGAAAAAAAAAGTGTTTTTTTGCTTTGTGATTATATTGTGCATAGTTATAAAAATTACTTGAAAATGCGAATTGAATCCCTGTGATGGGGGAAGGTTAGACAATAAGCAAAGAGAACCCTGAAGTAATTTCCGAGGACATGGTGAGCCATCAGATAATGTAAGTCCAGAAGTTAAAGTGTCTGATTTTTTGTGTGACGTTGATGAGGTGAGTGTAATCCCTGAGGTGGGGGAAGGAAGGAAAATTGTTGTTGATATTTATTGTGATGTAAATGGATCACTGTGTAATGTGAGCAAAGGTTGCTCAAATGTTGATAATTTTACAGAGATATGTACCGTTAACGAAAATGAATTAATTAATAATGTGAGCCAGGTGTGCTCAGGTTTTGATGCTATTGCAGATATCTGCAATGAAAATGTCTCACAAGTTGTTATGAGCAGGGGTTTATCAAAATTTTATTGTATTACAGAGAGCTGTATTGATGATGAATCAATAGGTAATGTGAGCCAGGGCTGCTCAAATTTTCAAATTGTTACGGATAGTTGTAATGATAATGAATCACCTGTAAATGTGAGCCAGGGCTGCTCAAATGTACATATTGTTACAGATAGTTGTAAGGAAAATAAATTCCCAAGTAATGTGAGTGAAGGTTGTCCAGATTTTGAGAGCCAGGAGTGCTCTAACATTAAGTTGGAAACCAATGTTGAATTAGTTAAAGAGAGCGCTGCCAGCTCTAAGGGTGCACTTGTTTATGATTTTCAAAAGGAGGTGAGTTGTCAGGTCCATGAGTTGGGAGGGGATGCTTTTGTTTGTATTGTTAAAAAAAAAATGAATCTGTTAAAATGAACTATTACCATGATAGCTTTGAAGTTCCTGATTTTTTTTATTTTTTTATTTTATGAGACTCGTTTTTCATTTTGTAACAATTTAAAAATATGTATTGTAAAACTGAGGTTTCACATGAGTTATGACCACGGGTCAAAAGAACAGGGAGAGATATTTCTAATTATAATTAACTTGGTGAAGCAAAAATGTTGTGAAATCCACGGACAAAAGATATGTCCCGCCATCTGTAGCTGTGTTATTTAAGAGCAAATAAAAGCTGCTTAAATTGTGGTGAGGCATCTCTCACCTGTAATAATGTTAGATAGTTTTGTGTTTTTATACTGATGGCCAATGGTTTTGTTTAAAAATACACCTTCTTGATGATATGAATTGCATTATCTTAGTTATAGTTTCAAATTCAGTAAGGATATTGATGTATTTGCCCTGATTTTTGAGATAAAAAATATAATTATTTTTATTGGTATGAAAAATGAAAATTAATGTTGACATTCAATTTCAATGGTCTGATTTTTATTGTGGTACATGAATTTTTAACTCTTGAATTGCATTTAAAATTATGTACGAAGGATTGTTTATTTTATTGCAGTATATCATAACTCTGTTTGATTTTCAGTGATACCAAAATAATGTTTTTTGATAACGACCATTCATATGGCTGAAGGTTTCTTCTTGATGTAATTCATGTAAATTTTGTGTGTCTGGTGACGATTTAACTCCCTGAGTTAAATCTGAAATGGAAGAGGGGGGATATGTCGAGTATGAGCGTTCATTAGTAATTGTTTCGACTGAATATTATGTTCATTAGTTGTTGAAGGCTTTTCCCGCGCTTGACTCTATAGTTAGTGAACGCTCTTCCCGCCATTGTCTCTAAGACGTATTTTTATGCTGATTCGTGACGTATTGTCTATGCAGTATTGTGACGTATGTTTTAGTAGTTCGGCAGTCTTGAGTGGAACTTTGGAGCTGTAGGATGTGTATTATTTAGGTCTGATAGCGAGCTGCGCTATATTCACGTGTTATGTGTATAACATTTACTCAGACATGAAAGTTATAATTATTATGAAAAGGCGTTGAGTTTGTTCAATGATAGTGGGAATAGTACGACGCATTCAACGTATGAAAAGAATTTTTAATTACCACCAAAAATGATGTTTACAAGATAATCGAAATACTAGAATTTTTTTAAATAGACTCTACGTTGTTTAAATAAATCTATATAAATTCTTTCTACTGGATTATCATCTAAAAATGAAATTTAAAAAAAATAATAAAAAATTAATTCAAAAAGCTTGGGAAGATTATTATTCTGATATTAAAAAGAGAAAAGTCGTTGGGGATTTCATAAATATATGCTAAGTATTTTTTTTTTAAATAAATCATTTTACTCTGCTGTTCCCGAAACTGTATTACAAAATTAGAAACGCACTTGATTTAATAATAATTTATGAAATGTCCACTATTTGAATGCAACCGGTAAATTCCTAATTTTTTGTTTTAAAATATCGTTGTTTTTTTATGTTGAAGTTTTCATTTTATCAAGTCTAACTCAATATAGCCTACATGTATTGAATCTACTACATTAAAATTTATGCTAAAACGCATTTTAAGCATGATGCTATTTTACATTTTATAATTAACACTTATCTCTACTTTAACAGTCATGCTTTTATGATGAAATATAATTTCAAAACAGATAGCACATGTTTATTACTTAGAAAGAACTATATTCAATTTATAGACCTTCATATCGATGTAAAGTTAGTTTAATACAGTGTTATTTAATTCTTTCAACTTGTGCAGCTGCAAAATATAAATAAATAAAATTACCGATATATTCGAACAGCAGAAAGTAAAATTTTGGCTTATGATCAGGAGCGGCCAATTTTTAAAAAAAATATACGATATTTATAATCGAGTTCTGTGATATTGTAACCAGATTAACCTGAAGCTGAACGATATGTATCATCAATATATATCGAACAAAGCGATATTTTATTGGTTCCATTAATTGTAATTGATGAAAGGCACACATTTTTTTTAACTTTAAATTTCAAGAAAAATTAAATTTATAGTAGTTTTTTTTTAATTTAAAAATTATTTTTGAAACGGGATGGGCCCCAAATTCAATATTTAAAATTGTAATTGATAACATGTATATTTTTGGCATTTTATATGAGAAAATTTAATAGTTTCTTAGCGACGTGTTTTTGACAACCTGTTTGCTTATAACGCTTTATGAGATTTTTCCCCGTTACAAACCGGAGAAAAAGCAGGTTATTTTAGCTAGTTTTTTTTCCCCCCATTAATTATGATGCCTAATGGCACCATGTTTTTAATAGTTTCATTAAAATATATTTATCATTGACATGTTTTAAAAGCGGAACAAAACATATTTTTATTTTCGATGAATCAAAAAGGGGTTGTTAGAATAATTATTCTCTTTCGCAATTTTTAATGAATTTTAAGCAAAATTATCACTAACAGACACATTATAATTATAGAGAGGCTCTGGGTGGGCTTACTTATCTATCTCTATTAAAAATATTTACTGTACTGTCCTTTTTTCTTGTTGATAGACAAAATTATAATTTAAGGCATATACTACATAAGATTATATTATATATATTTATTCAATACATTGCAGTGAATAGCCTTTTTAAAAAAAAATTACGGTATTAACTTTACTTTGTTTATATTTCTCTTTAAAATAATGTATAATACAATGTACATCTATAATTCTCACTTTAGTAATTTTAATAATTATATTTATATCATTAAATTTTCAATTATAGTTTTTTCTGTAACTTCCGTAGTTGATTTTTTTTTTTAATAGTTGTGTCCCTTATTTCATCATGAATACCAAAACAAAAGCCACTGCCTCCACTTCGGCGCGGAGAAAGCAGGAATTCAATGTATCCGCAAAGAAATTGCGAACAGCGGAGCAGAGAAAGTTTGCAGGGCAAAGGCCTTTACCCGAGCCAACACATGTTGGTCATTTCGTAATGATGATGGTAATGAAAATTTGCCGCATGATTTTGTTTGTTGACACGTCGGTGAAAATTGGAGTATATTTGATTGGAGTAATGATTGGATCAATTATATGCGATCTTTTTTTAGTTCCAAAGATTTACATGGCAGAAAGAAGAAATCCTCTAAATCAATACTTCATCAAGTTTGGCTGGGGGTGGACATTCACTTTCATTGGTGCCTACCTAGGTTTGACATGTCTAGTATACTGCTGTGGAGATTTACGAAGAATGAGCCAGCATTTCCTTCGACTTGTTGTTGGAACATTTTGGTGGTATGCGTGTACCTCATTATTCACACACGTTGAAACGATTATGGGCATATGCACAGCTTCAGTGCATGGAGATAAAAATTCTTGTCTAGAGGCTGGAAAAAGCTGGCTGGGATTTGATATATCAGGCCATGTATTTTTGGAAATTCACTGCCTACTGATAATATCAGAAGAAGTTAAGACATTTAAAGAATGGAGTAAACTTGGCACAATTCTTGAAGATGAAAATTTAAAAGACAGACGGAATCTCTCCGAAGAGGAAATTGGCCAGGCAAGGATGAACTACAAAACCTTAACTCCCTACATTAAAGGACTAATAGTTTGTCTAACAATAATTCTCGTGCTGTTTGAGTTTATGCTGCTTATTTCAACTATTTACAGATTTCACACACTTTCCCAAAAAGTCACAGCTTCATTTGTTGCAGTTATCTGCTGGTTCATGAGTTATCAAGTTTTTTATAGATCAGGGAATCCTTTTCCATTTATGCCTGTTATGCCTGGCACAAGCCCATTGCAGTTTATGAGAAATAATTAAAGAAAATGTCGTGGTTTTGCCTATTTATTATATAGCCTGTTCCTTTTTACTCCCACTTAAATAAATTCATCCCTGTTATATTTTTATGTATTCAATGCTATAACTTAATATAACTATAAGGTGAAAAATTGGGAGAGAAAAGCTTCCTGAAATTAATTTGAGTTTAAAATAGATTAAACAGAAATTATCTTTCCAATTTCATTTAAATTTTACTCATAACAAAGAATATTTCAATAAATGACATGTTTTTAATTTTTTGGTTTTTAAGTACACTCTAAGGAAAAAAAAAAGGGGGACAATAACTATGTTTCAATTTCTGACTGCATATGATTTTAGTTGTTAGTTCATATTTAGTATATTTACTCATAGTAGTCATAGTTATGTGATTGTCAACAGTTACAATTAGGTCTATTAGATAAATCTACCACTAACTAAATCATTTTATTAGCTGAGTTGGGACTGAAAGTTTTAATAATTTTGTAGCCAATTATAAAAGGGGTGGGGGGGGGGGTCATTTTTTTATGACTTGCAAATAGAATTTTTAAAATATATTTTATTTCTTTCAATAACTGCTAGGTGTATTGAAGAAGAGTCAAATGTTCATGTTCTTTACTAACTTTTCATCTGGAAGTATGTAAAATTCATAAAATGCTGGTTTACATACACCTTTAGGATCTATTAGTAGCATTTACATTACATCTAACTTTTGGATAATCCATGTTTTTTCTGAGTACCGGTACACTTTGTCTATAGTAGTCTAAGTAATAGAAGGCTTACAAGCAGTGAGACTGATAAATCATCTACATTCAATGGAACAAAACAAAATGTAAATCTTTGTTTTAAAAATATTTGAAATTACTTGTTTAAAATTCCATCAACTTGATTATTTAAAATAACTTGTTTAAAATTAAGCTCATTCCTTTTTATTCCATTTATGAGTCAAAGAAAGTTTTATAATCCTTTGAAATACTTATCTAGATACTGTGCAAATAAAGAAAATAAGTTCAACAGTCATGTCCACATTGTTGTTTTCAGTTAATTTATGGTTAATACAAATACATTTGTTAAACTTTCCTTTACTTTACAGTACTGTTATTTGTACATTTAGTGATCCCATGACCCTGACCTATATTTAAATATTGACACTGATAAGCATATTCTGAAACTTTATCCAATGCTCTTATAAAATTGTAATACCTTTTACCATATTGTCTTTAAAAAACCAAACCACAATCAATTTATTGATCATTCTGTCTCCTATGATTGATTGATTGATTTGATATTTATATCGCGCTGGTACCCATGCCACTCTAGCATGCTCACTGCGCTTTGGTCCTCCGAAATCTATTTTTTAAAAAAATTTTTGTTTCTTAAATGATTTTTATCATTTACAATTCCCCTCAAATATTGAGGCAAACTGTTCCATAATTTTGGGTAGATGAGGATATTTCAGTGGTTGCAAGGGCCATATAGTGACGATATCATGCACTGGGGCAGCGGTTCTCAACCTGTGGGTTGTAACCCCTTTGGGGGTCGCCCGAGCCTTTCACAGAGGTCACCAAAGACCATCTGAAAATACACATACTCTACAGTTATGAAGTATCAACGAAAATAATTATGTGGCTGGGGGTCGCCACAACATGAGGAACTGTATTAAAGGGTCCCGGCACTAAAAAAGGTTGAGAACCGCTGCACTAGGGGGGAGGAAGGCCTGAGGCAATAGACTCAAATGTGTCAAGTGTTGTCGACTGAACTGTTCCTTTTGAAAGAAAGCTCGTTCCTATCCCTGATTGTCCTTGTTTTCAAAATGCTTAAGACCTTGTCATAGATTGCGTTTAAAAACCTCTCAGGGCAAATAAGGTGTGATTTAAATATATCAATAAACATAAGAATATTCAGTTTAATTATTGCACTTCCTCACAATTAAAAAAAGGATGTAGGCCAATGTTTTAATAAAAAATTTTGTTAAATATATTTATAATAAAATAAATGTGGACTTCATATTGCTATGATAAACAATCATTTCAGCATTTAAAAAATGTATTTTGTTTCATTGTTTTTATATTTTTTTAATTTCATCTCCCCCACCGTTGATATTTTTTATGCATTTAAGTGTGTATGATTTGCTGATCAATATTCGTGTTCCATATTCTCTTTTGATATTTTTTTTTTTAAAAGGTGTTTAAGTTGGTCATGACTGGTGTGTGCATTTTAAACTTTCTTCATGGTTCACTTAATTGGTAATCAGTTTCATTTCTCTCTATTCTATTTGATGCATAAAAAGGCAGAAAAATATAGTACGGGGCTTTGTTACATACAAATTGCCTTCATCAGTACCGTGAGCTTAGTGTAAGAGATATTGTATTTTATTTCATTGTTTTTATAATATCTCTTACAATAAGAATTGTTGTTTAAATATTAATGGATATTACATCTATTTAAATGAATTGTACTGTTGAGTGGCTAATTTCTTAAAGTTTTAAAAAAAAATTTTTTTTTTTTTTTTTGAAAATCATAATTTATGACTAGTTTCTATTTGACATTTCTATTTTGATTCATGTGCAATCTCATGATTGTCCTGTAATGATGAAAGAAGCATGACAACTGTTGGCTGCATTGCCAAAGCACAAACAAACCTCCATAGGATTAACTTTTTGGGCTGTTTAAAACCGGTGATGCAATAAAAAAAAAAAAAGTAATTTGAGAGGATTGTAATTGTAAACAAAATTGTCAAAAACATGATTTATTTACTTTCATTATTATTATTTTTAACAAGTCACTGTTTTAAAAATTTGATATCAAATTTTCTTCTTGCGTCACCGCTTATCGAAAAAATATATTTATTTATTTGCGACATCCAGTTTTCATGATGATCATTTAAAAAAATTAATTTAAAATAACTTTCTCTGACTCTCTGTTGTGGTAATAGCTTAAGCAAAGGCTGTTGTTTTTCTCAGGAGAAAGAATTTGATTAGTTTATGTTCAATGAATAGATGATTATAACATTGCAAAGTTTTTGTTAAAAGCAGAAATTTTTTAATTGAAAATCATTAATGAAGTGGTCTCAAAAAGCTTAGGAGATTTCTCTGCAAATTTAAATAAACTTTAATTAATATGTTCTTTGAATATTACTAGGATGACCATGATTATTAGATTTCTCTAGAGAGGTGGGGGGGTTGAGGGGCTTTTGAATTAAAATTGTAACCAGTGTCTTTAGTGAACAAACAAAATTTGTGTTTTCGTTTAGTCATCAACATTTGTATTTTATGAATACCCATGATGTATTGCATTTTTAAAAATAATGTTCAGTTACAAAAAAAATTTGAAATTACCTTAATTGAAGAGCATTACACTGAGTTCTTAGAATATAAATATTTTCTTTTTCTTAAACCTTCGTTCTTGTGATGGAACTATTATGATACACTAAGGTTAAGTTATCAAAAATAAAAATCAGCATTTAACCATCCCGACATCTCATTTGACACTTTTATCAGATTCATCTTGTTTTTTGTAATTCATTGTCATCCAGGCACAAAGCGACTATTAGTTTATTAGAACAAATTTTTCTTTAAACTCTTAAACATTTTGTAACAAAAACTGAATGTTTCACCAAATGTTTAAATCTCATTATTATAGTTCATAAAACATAATTTTAGTAACATGTCATGTTTGGCAACATTGTTAACTTACTGCAGTCTCATGACATAAATTGTCAATCCTATTCCAGCTACTGATGAAGTAATACAAATACACTGTCACATGTAGCCCTGTGCTTTAAATGTGCCTCTTATACTTGTTAATTTGCGATTTTGTGCAGTGCAAATGTTTTTTTCTGTGTAATATCTTTTTGCTTCATGTGTTGCATGATATCTTTTGGAAAAACTTTCTTATCAGATTACATTTTATTCTTGTTTTTTGCTTTTATAAATTTCTCCAGAAAATACTGGAGTTTCTATATCATCAGAGAAAGTAGTGTAATGTATTCGATCTCAAAGATATATAAATATACAAATAAAGAGAGTTAATTTTCCAAACGCGGTATCCTGTAGAATCCACTATTTAAAAAAAAAGTAAAAAACCTTTGCTTTTTGTAGAGCAAACCTGGTTCCTTCAGGACATGGTAAAGTTTATTTACAAAACACATTATATTCCTAGTTTATTTTTATCTAAAAATGATTTAACAGGTACACCTGTAATTTTTTGTAAAAAGTTGAATAATCTCAAAACCCCCCAAAATAGATTTATACAGCATAGCATTTTGAAAATAGCTCTTCAAATATATTTATGCTGTCCCATTTCTGTTGTTACCTTTAATATTTCTGTTGCTTTGATCAATCTTTGTTCAGTTATTTTAATTTTTAGAGTGTGTGACTCGTATAAATGTATGATGTAGGCCTAGTCATCTTATTCTCTGGTATTTCTTATGCTAGTCCCTAATAACTATAGAAATAATGAATTATGTCAAGCTAGAGTTTAAGCACAGTTGGCCAGTGACACGAATTCCAGAGGTCACACACAAAGGTATCCTTAAACCCCCCACCCCTCAAAGCCACCTAAACTTCCTATACTTCGTTTTAAACACATAGTAAAATTTTAAAATAATTTACTGTCTTAGCATTTTCCTAAACTATATAATAAAATACATAGTAAAATAAATTAGTATTATCCTAGTATTTCCTACATTAAGGATGGTGTCGCCTTGGCCAACATGTTAGATTTTTATTATTGTGACAGTGCATATCTTCATAGCATAAAATATTCTAACATATTTTGGTTAGGTAAAGGAATTTACATTTTATTGTTACCTTTTTAAAAAAAATACTAAAAAGTCTGCATAATTTGTTGAGGTGAATTTAATTGGCAATTTGTAAAAGGATGAGTGCACATGATTTACAGTGATTCCTCATTTTTTATTTTCTTGTGAACATAGGACATGTCATTGTGCTCATTTATTAATTAGGTTTTTAAAATTATATGCATCATAGTGAGTTGTTTTTCCATTTAATTGCAACTGATACCTAAAAATGTTAAAATTAGTATTTTAATTTTATCTCCCCCACAACTTATATTTTTAATGCATTTAACTGTGCAGGATTTGTTGATCAATATTCGTGTTCCTTTATTCTGTTTTGATATTTTTTTTAAAATTTGAAAAGGTGTTAAAGTTGGTTATGACTGGTGTGTGCATTTTTAAATTTCTTCATGATTCACTCAATTGATAATCAGTTTAATTTCTCTCTATTCAATTTGATGCATAAAAAGGCAGGAGAAAGTAGTAGGGGCTTTCTTACATACAAATTGCCTTCATCAGTACTGTTAGCTTGAAAAGGTTGTGAAACACTTATTTATATAATTAAAAGCCCAATGTATCAAAAGAAAATAAACATACATACTTCAAATTTAATAACCTTTGGCTATAAAAAACAAACAAATTTAATTTATTTAAATTTCAAGCTCCACATGTCATTTCCTGTATTTGAGAATGATTAATTTTACATCTCCATGTACCATGCTGTACTACAACTGAGATCATCATCAAAGAAGAATGATTTGAAAGCTTGATTTATTAAAACCCTTTGGTCCATCAGTGCTTTGTATTTTGCATCTGATTAGGAAACCCTCAGTCTCAGGTTTGAGTGTGCATTTTTCTCATTTATAAATTTATATTTGGTCAACTATAAATTCTGTCCAAAAATAGTTGCTGAACACAGCCAGATTTTTTTATAATTTCAGATTTTGGTGTGACTTCCTCGCCATCTTTTTTTTTTTCTTTGGTTTGTTTCCTTTTTCTGGATGTTACCTAATAATGATTTTAGAATAATAAAATGAGTGTTCTAATTAAAAAAATATATAAACTTTGTTGAGTTTCTAAAATGTATTTATCTTTCAGTCTCAGACTAATTTTCTTTGATGATTTTATGCTGAAAATAAAATCACATAATTCCAGAGCTCTAAGATTCCAAGTACTTTTTTTTAAAGAGTATAATTATTTTGAAATAACCACACACAAAATTAATTGAATGATGAAATAGTGTAACAGTTTCACATAAAGTACCAGGTAATTATATGTTGTCACGGTCCAGAAAGTGTGCCATACTCTGGGGAGGGAGGGGAAGTTCTGACAGGAAAAAAGGGTGGAGGATAAAGATATTGTGTGACATCACATATTAAAAAAAATGATTCATGATTTTTTACATATAAAAATAAAAACTGAAGCGATTTTGAACTTTCTACTTTGATGGATGTATTCTGACAGAAGATGTAACATTATACATTTATTTATAGTACTATACTATTAGTATAGTGAAGTGTTTTAAATCAAATTCTATTTATATATTTTTTTAAAATTTAGTTCACAAGTGTGACGTACTTTGGGGAGGGGGGTAGATTTGTGAAAAAAAGGGAGTGGGGGTGTAGAAATTGTAAGTACTTTAAGGGTTGCCCCTAAGGAAATACTTCGAAAGGAGACATTTCAGGAATAAGATTTATAAGGTTAAACAAAATTAAATGTTAAAAAATAAAGCAAGAATAATTCGATTTTTTCTCAAATAAAAAAACGATAATTTTCGTGTATACCGGTAATTAAAAATATGCATACAATGTACAACTTATTCAATGTTATTCAAGCCTAAACTAAAATTATGCACAGGTATGGGTCTCCTACAACACCCAAGATTTTTTATATGATCATTACTTAGAACTCAATCCTGAGAGTTAAAGCTCCTGGTGGTTGCAAGATGCATGATTGGAAGCCATACTTCGTTTACTGTGTGGGGTGTTTCAAAGAGCCAGTCATCATTCAAGAAATGCTCATTAGATGGGACATAATAATAATAATTAGTTGTCTTATATAGCGCGGTACCCCAGCCTAGGGCTGGGCTCACCGCGCTGTTCATAAAAATATTATCAAAAGAGACATAATCATGACATTAAACATGGCAACAGATAGTTTGGGTGAGAGAACTTTAAAATTGTACACAGCTTATTTATAGTAAAAAACACCTGTATATCGAATCCTGGACCCTGATGAAAGATGCATGTTTATCGGAGTTGGTGAAAATGTGTTTCAACTCCATCCTTTGTGATTAAATAAAAAATAACACAACTTATTAAGATCTACTTCCTATATCAAACAACAAAAAACGCGCTAAAAAAAATTGTTCTATGACGTCACACCTACTACATAACTGTTTCTATTGACGGGCCCGGCGAGGGCCTGGTAGCCACCGGAGATGGAATGCCGTTTCTCGTCGGATACCGGATTTAGTGTGACGGAGACGTTGGCGAAACTCATGGTGTTCTCCTTATGGTGCGTGTCCTTATCCCTGCAGATGTTGAGGAGTTCACAGTTGATTTCAGACGGCCTCTCAGCCAGCACGTACTGGTAGAACAGGGCCCCGAGGGAGCCACCTAGCGTCGGGGCCAGCCAATAAAGCTGGTTGGGAAATGCAACACATAGATTAACAAATGGATGTTAATATTATGGAATTGTTGGAAATAAGATTTGGTCACATGACTTATGGCATTACAGGTAATGAGTAATGAGAGACATTACCAATGGTGTTTCTAGAAATGAGGAAAACTACTAGTGGAGTTACGGGAAATAAGTGGCTTTGTCGTTTTTTTCTGGTGGGTGGGGGTGGCAAATCTGCCACCCAAGGCGAACCATTAAAAAGATGATTTGGAGCTCCTTGTGTGGGTGTTATGACTAACATTACTTATTGAGTTACGGGTAATGAAAGTAATGAGTGACATCACTGATTGTAAAGGTATTATCGACATTAGATAATTACCCAGTGATGGTCCCAGACCCCAGCTACAACTGCTGGTCCCAGTGTCCTGATAGGGTTCATGCTGCAACCTGTTGGTCGTCCCTGAGAAAGTAAAGAATCGTTGTTTGAAGGACAAATATTTAATGTAATTTAATTTAAAATATGAGCGTAAGTCCCCACTTACCCCAATCTGCTAGGAGAGAACGACTCCAATTTTGGCATATCAATGATCTAGCTGAGATTATGTTTGATGCGACGGTATAAACTTACTTTGAAGAGTATCGTGGAAAACTGCATATTTGGATTAGTTCTAGTTCCTATTACCGTATGTTTATATATATTTATAGCCTCAGTTTCGCACTCAGAATTCACAGTTCTAATTTTTAAAATTCATCTCATGATTAATTATGTAAATAATCAATCCAAGTACTCAATAAATAATAAAAAAAACTTTGGATGAGTAGAGAAATAAGGGAGGTTATTCTTAAGAGCAGACAAATAAGGGAGGTTATACTTAAGAGCAGAGAAATAAGGGAGGTTATACTTGAGGGCAGAGAAATAAGGGATGTCATACATAAGAGCAGAAAAATAAGGGAGGTTATTCTTAAGAGCAGAGAAATAAGGGAGGTTATACTTAAGAGCAGACAAATAAGGGAGGTTATACTTAAGATAAAAATGCGTAAGATTAGCCAACAAGAATACACAAAAGCTAAAAAAAAAAATATTGAATTACTGGGGAAAAAATATATCTGATCAAAAAGCAATTAAGACAATAAATAGAAAATTGGTTCCATAAAAACAACTCCAAGGCCTGCTGAGCTGAACTAAAACAAATAACAGGATACATATCGAAGTGTGAACGCTTGTGTGTTGAGAATGTGGATAATTTTGTAAATGACTTAAATACATTTTATTGTCCTTTTGACAGTCTAGATCTAGAGTTTGGAAATGTACATGATGAATTCATATGAAGATAGATGTATAATACAGAGTTCAGGGGGATCCAGTAAAGTTCACTGAACAGGACGTGATGTCGCTATTTAAACAAGTGAATATAGCCAAAGCTGTTGGGCCAGACAAATTATGTGGACGGCTTGTTAAATTCTCCTGTTGATGAACAGCTCTCCTATAATTTTTGTCACATATTTAATCAATCTTACGAAACTCATACTATACGAAAGGGATGGAAAACTTCAAACTTTATATCAATTCCAAATAATAAAAAATAAAGTCACTTGCAATAATGACTTACCTACAGACGAACTTTAACCATTATTTTAATGAAATGTGTTGAGAAACTTAATGCCAAAGACACTTTTTTTTAAATGTAGTACAGCATGAACTTGACCCACCCCCTCACCCCCCCCCCCCCCCCCCCCCCCCCAATATTGGCTTATAAATCTGCCAGAAGTATCGAGAATGCCATCTTAGTAATATTGGAAAGACTTTACCGTTACCTAGTTAGCCCTTAAAATATACTAGGGTGCTTATCTTATGATTATCATTAGCATTTAACACTATCCAACCACAGGACCGGCCCGACGGTTGCTGGCGCCCTGTGCAAGCTTAAATTTGGCGCCCCTTATAAGTGTAATCATTAAAGGAAAAAACGAGTTATTCGATAATGAGTTTATTACCTATGTTTTTTTTTTATTATTTTTTTTTAAACAACGAACTGTTCATTGTTTGTTAAAAACAACAACAAAATAGGAAAAAGTTAAGCCTTGGGTAAACTTTCGCCCTGTGCGAAGCAACCGTTCGGCGCCCCCTTCCCTGTCCCTGTATGGCTCCTCTCTTTTTCCGATTACGACGTACTTTTTCTTCTTTACGCTTGCGATTTTGCTACCCCAGAAAGCTTTTTGTTCACAATATTCTTTCTGCTGAAATAATTGTAAGAGGAACAAGGGAATACGGTATCAATCAATTAATGTCCACGCTCTTTCGGTTGCTCCCATCCCAAGTGTTAGTATACACATTAAAAAGGCGACTTTTTTTGAATGAAAATTGATTGTAGGAAAAGAGATTGTACGAAAGTTAGAAAACCGTTTCTCGATCCCCGGACCTGAGGTTCACACTTCACTTTAATAAACTAGGGGAATTTAAATATTTACTGGGCGCTCTATGGCCACGGCACCCTGAGAGAGGGTACAGGTCGCACACCCTAAAGGCAGGCTCTGCTAACCACACCTTATGTTAAAAGCTTTCTTCGTTAGGTGTAAATTCAAATATTCAAGCGTAGATATTAAACTTTTTAACAAAACACCCACCACAATATGTCAAGGTGAATGACCAAATATCATTAACTAAAGAAATAAATCCCGGGGCGCCACAAGTTTACATTCTCTCCCCTGCCCCGTATAAAATAAGAAGGCCTAAACCAATGACATTTCTTTCTGAAACAATTATACAATATCGGGGTAAAAAAACAAGTCATTAACTTATTCTATAGTACAACAATTGGAAACCTACTGAACTTCAGTTTCATCTGCTGGTGTGGGAATTCGTCGTCTGACATCAAACACCGATATTAAATAGAGTAATCAAGAAAGATAGTAGTATTAACAAACTAACCAACTTTCACCCGAAGAGCCATTTGAAGAAGCATGGTGTTTTAAACGTAAAAAAAAATTGGATGGTAAATCCTACCCTCTTCAAAATCTCTAACCGCTTGGTAGGTCCAACGCAACATCATATCACTTACCGCCCAGGCACTCTGCATAAACACAACAAGTCCCACAGCTAGGGGCATGGAGCCACCGTGGTCAGTTCGATATTGGTCACTGCTAGCGAAGACCCCAAGGAGTAAGATGAATGTGGCTATTGTTTCTATGACAAATCCCTAAAAAGAATAAAACACAATACCTGCTAAGCTATTTTTCAAAAAAATAATACACTGCACGATGATTCAAAACTTTAATAAAATGTTTCTGTTACTAAATAAATTACTGCCCAAAGTGCGCTCCTTCGAGAAGCCTGTTTAAGATGTTTTTCTTGTCTGATTTTGTTTCTTTTAATGGTGTTTCGAAATAGTACTGAATGACCATCATACACAGAAGAAACTAATGAGTATGTATTAATACACTCTTTTGTTTGAACAATTTGTTTGCGACATAAATTCCGGAGTCTGGATAGGTTCAAAGCAATCGCTTGACTTTTGGAGGCCCACTGCCAATGCTCGGTATTTGCCGCAACCCCCCCCCCCCCCTTTTTTTTTTTTTTTTTTTTTTTTTTTTTTTTTTTTTTTTTTTTTTTTTTTTTTGTTTTTTTTTTTTTTTTTTTTTTTTTTTTTTGCATTCTAAGTTGTCAGTGACTTTTTTATTTTAGATTGCAAGTTTGGGTTCTTTAAATATCCCCTACCCCCAACCCACTTTTTTTTATATTAAGCAATAGTTTGGCAGGCCCAGGCAGGGGTGGACTGGGGAGTTCAAGCGGCCCGGAAAAAAATCAAAGCGGCCCTATCTTCATGACTTTTATTTGTATTATATCACCGGTCCTAGCGGCCCATCGGGAATCTTCCCGGTGTCCCGGCGGCCCAGTCCACCCCTGGGCCCAAGTGAAAGTTGTGAGTAGGAAATATAATATTTTATTATTGTTATTGAAAAGTAACTGATTAAGAAATGTCCGTTCAGGCGCGTAGCATGTTGCCAAGACTTGACTGAATAATTTGACCCAATGGGAAAATATTGATTATGTTAACTAGGTTAATGATATGCGGTACAGTGCAACCCCACATCACTAACTACACAATAATCCCAAGTCAATTTAATGCAGTATAATTAATTAACACAGACCAAATTTATTAATTAAAAAAATATTTAGTGTGTTATAAAATGGGTCATTAATTTTCTTTCTAAACACATACCGTCTTCCAATGTATGTTTCAGTAGCTGGTCAGTGACCGGTGACATGCACTTTTATTTTCCCAAAATATAAAACTAAATTTCCCTCTTGGTCGTCCCCATAAGCCACGTACTTTTAAATTAAAACGATAAAAACTATTTCGTACACATTGATTACCATTTCAATGTATACCAATATGATATAGCTTTAAATGACAGCGACATTTCGACACACCACTGCATCACGTCAAACCAACCAGTCACAATAAACCAATTCGCCAAGACACACTAGTCAGACACACCTAATTAGTCCGTCGCTAGTCCGACACTAGTACCTCACTAGTTCGTCACTAGTCAGACACACCAAATTAGTCCGTCACTAGTCCGCTGCGCTGGGGTAAATAATCAGCTCCAATAAGGATTTCCTATATTTGGCATCGAACGAAACAAAAATCCCCCCCCCCCTCGTTGTTTTACCTGCCCCACGGTGACTCCCTCGGCGAGAACTGTGGCCCCTAGTCGACCTCTCCATGCGTCTGGCACCATGAACCACACAACAGCGCAACCACCTATAGATCCTGCGCATTGCATCACGGTGTAAGTCAACATCTGAAGAAAAAAACACCCATATTTCAGACATTTCAGCACTGTGAACAGGGCCGTAGCAAGCAAAATCTGGGTCCGGGAAAGAGCCTGAAATTAGAACCCCCTCTTACCTTAAATCAGGGGTTCTGAAAATTTTGTAGTCCCCACCCCAAAATATACTTATTTAAGACTAAATTACCCCACGATTTGAAAGGAAATAATTTTATAGATAATTTAAATTCAAAACAGTTAATTGAATCTATATATACAGAGAATACACTTATAAATATACAAAAGTATCAAATAAATGGCGACAAAACAAACAAAGTCCTTATTTTGAACAAAAGGATTTCTTGGAGGAAAAAAAATACTTCAAATTTCTAAGAAGTGACGTTTCATTTTTTAAAACAAACCATGACAATTGAGAGTGCAATGTGAAAACTTTCTGCGGTTTTCAATTTTGATTTCTATTTGTTTTTAGTGTCCACCCTTCGTGTGGGGGAAATCCTTGTCCTAAAGACACGATCATTACAAAAGACATCAAGTATTGATGGTCTCCTTATGTGCCTTAGCTCTTGGAGTTTTGAGCAGAAGCATCAGTGTCAAATCAGGGTTTGCGAGGGGTGTTAAACGCACCGGAAGACACCCTTATCGGGAGGGGGGGAGGGGGGTGACACAAAATGGGCCATAAAACACTTTAAACAAACTCAAGTCGGTTTCATAAGAGATCTAAGTTCAATACATGAGAGAGAAAGGTGCCGCCAGAACAGGGTGCCGCCACGGGGAAACCTTGATGTAACGATAGATAACTTTAAATCCCCCCCCCCCCACACACACACACCTTTTCTATAAAAACTCTATCCGTTCTGATTTTGAAGGTACACCTGTTGCTACCAGAACAGGGTGTCCCCAGTGCAGGCAGACTCGGTAGAGATCTAAGTTCAATACATGAGAGAGAAAGGTGCCGCCAGAACAGGGTGCCGCCACGGGGAAACCTTGATGTAACGATAGATAACTTTAAATCCCCCCCCCCACACACACACACCTTTTCTATAAAAACTCTATCCGTTCTGATTTTGAAGGTACACCTGTTGCTACCAGAACAGGGTGTCCCCAGTGCAGGCAGACTCGGAAGAAGTCAAGGGCGGAGTCTGGAGGAGTTTAACCGCAATTCGTTACACAAAGCCTGGTGACCCCACTGAGCGTGAGTTAAAATAGGCGACTCGGCCAAAATGGCGTATACGAGACAAGGCGATCGGTTGAGCTGGGTGCCGAGCCACCAGTAAACACACGTTTGGTGCGTTTCTCTGTTATACTGGCCAGATGGGAGAAAAATTATTTCCAAACGCTCTTTTATAATATCGAGTTACATAGCTTTCAAAGTATGTAAACCAGAGGTTTCAAGAATTTTTTTTTTTTGAGTCCTGTCCCCGTTTTATAGAAGCGATTTGATCCGCGACCGAAGTTCAACTATAAAAAGTCTTTTCAATAAATTTAAAGAAATCATAAAGAAGACAGTTTTTCAGCATAATGTCATCCAATATTATATGTTATACGCCCAAATATATAAGCCATGATTGAACATGTTATTAGTTTTAAGAACTTTGAACTTCGTTGTTAAGTTTTATCTAATGCTTAACTTAATAATTGGCAACAATTTAATGTTTCTTGTTCGTTTTAAAAACAATTAGAAGCGTTGACAAATCTACCCCCAAAGAATGGTGCAGAAGAGACCGCTATTATTTTGATACTATGCAAACTTTAGGATACAAAACAAGTAACTGCATTAAACACGTCTTTAAAAAAACAACTGTTTCAGCCGGTGACTTCACTGGAAACACATCGCAAATCACTGGGCATAAGGACCCATTAGTTTGGAACCTGTCATGTTTATGATGTAATCGATATCAATGGTATCAGGAGTGGATCCAGACATTAGTATTTATTTACATGAAATATGTCATATAGATAGCGTCTCCACCCTGATCTTTCACACAAGCCCCCCCCCCCCCCCCCCTATCGTGCACTGTTTGGGGTTTCGAGTCAATAGAGTTAAATACCGACAGTCAACTGATGACCTACCTTCGCCAAGCTCAAATGACGGTCAACTGATGACCTACCTTAGCCAAGCTCAAACGACGGTCAACTGATGACCTACCTTAGCCAAGCTCAAACGACCGGTAATCATAAAGGACCAGCTGACACTGGGATTAATGTGGGCCCCGCTGATGTGATTGAAGGTCCAGATGATCGTCGCCACGGTCATCCCAAAGCAAACGGCCGATATCAGGGGGTCCTGTGGCTTGCCCTGGTCCAGCGTGGCGTAAGCGCCGCAGCCGGAGATCATCAGAATGGCGGTCCCGACAAACTCGGCCAGGGCGGCCTTGAAGAATTTCCACGTCCGTACTTCATGGAGGCCGAGGAACTCTTTGAATCTGGGGTTGCCGTTCATGGCGATGTCAACAAATTGTTTATGAATTCCTGTAAAGAATGTTGGAAAAAAGAAAACCAAACAAACCAATAAACAAACTATTGCCGCCTCAAGTCATGCTAACAAATACAAGATTTTACATAGAATAATCGGGCAATCAACCAGGGTTTTCGATTTGGAATTTTTTTTTTTTTGAGTGCGAAACATTGTGATGCATACCTTGCGGGTAAAAGTGTGTCTTGTCAAAAGGTATTTAGCAAAAGACGCAGATGATTATAAAACCAATTAAATATAACATCAAGTTGAAGTAACAGGATAAATGGTTGCCAGAAACGTCTTTCACAGAATTAATATGAGATGAACAAACTAAGATTATACACATTCGAAAATTCCTCTCTGTTGTCAGAATTCACTAAAAAATTTGATGTTTCAACGGGAGATGTCGCGAGCATCTGAATGTTAATTAAAGTCGTGTCAATTGTCAATGTTGAGATTAACTTTTAATGACGCGCATTAACACAGGGAATAATTGACGTAAGACGTATATAAAATGAATGTGGTCATTAAGATAGCCACTGACTTTAACACAAGACTGTCCTATCGGCTGGTTGCTGAAACAACGCACCTGACTAAACACCATGCCGGACTGAATGAAAAGCTGCACATGGCTATACCACATACTGACAGATTGACACACAGCACCTGACTATACCACATACTGACAGATTGACACACATCACCTGACTATACCACATACTGACAGATTGACACACATCACCTGACTATACCACATACTGACAGATTGACACACATCACCTGACTATACCACATACTGACAGATTGACACACATCACCTGACTATACCACATACTGACAGATTGACACACATCACCTGACTATACCACATACTGACAGATTGACACACATCACCTGACTATACCACATACTGACAGATTGACACACATCACCTGACTATACCACATACTGACATATTGACACACAGCACCTGACTATACCACATACTGACAGATTGACACACAGCACCTGACTATACTACACGTTTTGAACTTATTGACACACACCTCACAAAACTGTATGTTGGACTGATTAACACACAACACTCAACTATAACACACTATTTTTTTTAATGGCTGGTTAACAGCAAACTATACGACGTGTCGGACTGAGTGATAAACAGAATAAGGCAGCGAACACTTCTCACACCCACACTTCGTTGGTGTTAACTGACTATACCACATGTGGGACTGATTGACGTACAGTAGATGACTATACCACATCTTGGACTGATTGACACACAACAACTGACTGTATCACATGTTGGACTGACTGACACACAACACCTGACTGTATCACATGTTGGACTGATTGACACACAGCAATTGACTTTACCACATGATGGTTTGACTTATACACAACAATGTGACAAAACAGTCCCGACTGCATGCAAATACCTGTGTTTTTAATTTTCAATGCCCACCTTGTAGGTCAGCAAAGTTTTTAAAATGCAGTGAATACTTCTCACAGCCACATTTCGTTGATGATAACTGTGTCAACGATGTTACGTTATGTTCACTACTTATAGATACCACCCGGAATACTAGCAGTGGTTCTCAAATAGTCCCTGAAATTTCGAACTCCCACCCCCAACCAAAGAGATAAAAAAAAAACAACTGCACCCGATAAGGGTAACACGGTTCATGGGAAGGAGACGACACGTCTTAATCGTGATGATGTTCCAATGCTGCAGCTCAAGAAACCGATCTTGTTGCACGTCACGATATTTTGAAAACCTCAAAAGAACGAGTTGTGTTCGTAATCGTGTGGTTTGACTACTCAACGAAAACAGCATGAAATGAATTGATGTAAAAAATAAGTTTATGGGATATTTTGAGCTTAATATAAGATAAGATAAACTTCTTTCATTGATCCAAAGACATGGATTTTTATAATTGCATTTTTTTTTTTTTTTTTTTTTTGTGGGGGGTTTTTTTTTAGTTTGATATATATATATATATATATATATATATATATATATATATATATATATATATATATATGTATTTAGGTTTAGTACCACCCGGGCTGGGACGATAATTTTGCCACGCCCTTTACGAAAAAAAAACTGCAGTTGGCCGAAAAAAGTCAGCCCCCACCTCTCTGTTGAAGGAAAAGGGTGCAACCCGGGCCCTTCCTACGCCACTGTATATATATATGTATATGTATATATATTAAGGCCTAGTTTTAGTCACCACCACCTGTCTCCCCTGTATTTGTTTTAATAACACTCGGTGCTGTTCCACTTCTTACCCAACACTCCCTTGATTGGGAAAAGGTTGTTTGCATTGGAATACATTATATTTGTTCCAAAGAATGCTATATTTGAGTCAATTTCTGGAATTTCTTCATGGTTCTGATGTATTTCCTTCAAATATCCCGGTAGCTTTCATAGCCGACGGACATATTTTGCTGTATTGCCGAACATTTACCAGACGTTTTATCATTGCAATATTGTCCTCTTAATGTCTGTGGGTCAATTAATATCTTAGTCGAGGAGTGCACCTTTTCAAATGCTTTTTTTATTTCTGCATGCTTGAATCTTTATTAATATAGAAATTTAATGGTATAAATAAATTGATTATTGTTAATATCCCTAACTTCGGCATCTTTTTCTTTGCATACTGTTTTTCTCCGTACTTTGTTAGGTATTGCTCATTCTACGGGCCAAATCTTAAAATCGATTAAATTTTCAGAACCACAACGCTTCGCAACCATTACTTTAAAAAAAAAACAATTTTCTTTAAGTTTTCCACCGTTACGACTTGCGATGATTTAAGTATCTGTATTCCAACAATCAAAACAGTTTTCATCTTTTCCCTGTTTATCGTTAGGATCACCTTCGCGTTTGAAGACAGAACTTCTATTTGAAAGATACAATTAAAAATCACAATTTTTGTTTTAAAAAGGTAGAGAAAGGAAAATTTAAAAAAAAAAAACGGTTTATAATTCTTCATATTTCTTGTAAATCATTTTGAGAATCATTTAAAAGTACAAATTTAAATACAACATACTTTCGATGAATTTTTAAGCCCTATCGCCAAGTGTAAAGATAGCAGAGGTCAAAGTTCAGTTGATAAGCACAGCAAATGTTGCACAAATGGACTGGTTTGAATACGGTAGACGTCATCATACGGACGTAAAAGGAAATATTACTTTTTTATTATTTATATTATTAAATTTGTATTATTATTTTGCTACAAAATTTACCGAAGTTAATTCAAACGAAAGATTTTTAAAACATAATAATTACGGACTTATTCAAAGCCAAAAACAACTATAGTTTACAGTTACATCAAATTGTTAAATGTTAACATGAACCAGTGTTTCTTTTAGGTTCTCTTGGGGGAGGGGGGACTGCCCCCTACGGAGCAAGTCAAGTGCCTCCCCCGAGGGAAAATGTGAGAAAAAATAAAAATGAAAAATGAATAATTTTTCTTTTTAAAAAAATGAGTAACTGGTGCCTTTAACCGATTACATCTAGAGGAACCTATGGAATATCGCAACGCTCGATGTTTCATTGATAATCCCTATATTAATCTTAGGTAGATGTTTTAGAGGCTTACACTATTCGTACTAGCCGTTCCCGGTTATAAGCCGAAACTTTACTCCCCGTTGTTTGTATATATCGTTTTATTTATTTATTTTTAGCAACTTCACTGGTGTTGATTTTTGTGCTCCACACTCGAAAGTTTTAAATGTCACCTCAAATTGTCTGAAAGAAACTTAAGTATGTATTTTGAATTTCCCAAACTGCCTTCAACACACTCAATATCTGCACCCACTTTTCCTTACGCTGATCAATGTTGCAGTATGGCGTTGAATATTACTTTCTGCCAAATGATTACCCTGGGGCACGCCACAACTGAAGTGAATTCAGCTTATGTATGACATTAGGCGCTATAATGCCTTCCATATACTCTTAAAAATGTTCTTACCCCGATCTAAAAGACAAATAGAACTATTGAATTCAAGTTTATTCCAAATTGCACCTCTTGATTTTGAAATAATCAAATATTTTCAAGGGAGAGGACCAATCAGACTCCTCCTCCACTCAAGATGCATCGGCGTCTTCGATTTCTGCCTACTTCCCGATGAAATTGCTCGCCAATTGGGTGCCGATAGATACACTGCCTAGTGGCGTAGCTAGTGCTAGTGTCGCTATGGGCGGCCAAATATTTTTGTCGCTTTGGCTTTCACGATACAAACACTGCAGTTGTATGGAAATGTCGCAACTCAATATAAAGAAAATGTGACACTTGGTTGGACCATTCCCGCCCAACCCCTTTCTACGTCACTGACAGGGGCGTAGCTAGAGTTGTGGCGTCAGGGGACAAGATTCGTGTTTTCGCCACCCCCCCTCATTAACCCGGAAAACATTAATTACAGTCATTAAATATCACCAAAGCCTAGGCTTATTGTCGTTGGCACTGCTCCCCCCTCCCCCCCCCCCATAATACATCTGAAATGCCCCCCCCCCTCAAACCCCGGAGGAAATTGTCTGAAAGAAACACTGAAATGAATAATATGCCATTTTTACTTTTTTGTTTTTAGTACTGTTCAAGGAAAATGTAGATGAGACCACTTGGATAGTCTTTTATCAAGGAAATGTAGATGAGGCCACATGTAGTCTTTTTAGAGGAAGATGTAGATGAGACCACTTGTATAGTCTTTTTAGAGGAAAATGTAGATGAGACCACTTGGATAGTCTTTTTCAAAGATAATGGGGATGAGACCACTTGTATAGTCTTTTTAGATGAAAATGTAGATGAGACCACTTGTATAGTCTTTTTAGAGGAAAATGTAGATGAGACCACTTGGATAGTCTTTTTCAAGGAAAATGTAGATGAGACCACTTGTATAGTCCTTTTAGAGGAAAATGTAGATGAGAC